TCCTGGGGTCCTGGGATCGAGCCCCGCACTGGGCTCTTTGCTCAGCAGGGAACCTGCTTCTGCCTCTCCCATTCCCCCTGCTGTGTTCCCTCTCTTGTTGTGTCTCCCTCTCTCAAATAAATAAGTAAAATATTTTTTAAAAAAGAATTTTACCAAAATATTAGTACCTGAGAGTAATATCTCTCAGTGATGGCATTATTTGTGATGATTTTCCATAGTGGGCATGTTTTCTTTCTAACATATTTTTTTCCTGACATATTTTTTAAAAGAATTTATTTAGAGAGTGAACGTGAGGAGGAGGAGGGACAGAGGGAGAGAGAGAATCTCAAGCAGACTCCTTGCTGAGTGCAGAGCCTAATGCTGGGGCTCGATCTCATGACCCTGAGATCATGACCTGAGCCGGAATCAACAGTCACTTGTTTAACAGACTGAGCCACCCAGGCACCCCTGACATATTTTTTCATTAAAAAAAAAAAAAAAAAAAATACCATCAGAGTTTAGTTGAGTAAACAAAACAATCCTTCTACGGAATTATTTACGAGACATGAGGTCACTAAAAATTATTGATCTGATGATTTAGGAAGGCAGCTGAATTTGTTCACAGCAATTTGCTGGTTCTAACTCATTTCAAAGGTAATTTCCTTAATGGTTCAATGCCCTTGAATATTTTCTTAAACTTGAGTTTGGAAGTCACACTACTTTTAGTTAGGTGTGACTCTCTGCAGACAAGCAAATTTTTGCACTTACAGCAAAAGAAATAGGTGAGAGTGCCCTAAAAATACAAAGCAATACACAAAGGCAGGTACTATATAATCTGTTCTTTGTGTAAATTATGGTCTTTATTGACAGGGATCATTATCACTATGTACCAGAGCGAGGACTTCCCTGTGGTGCGCAGCTGTGGTCACTGTTTGTAGAAACCACGTGCTTGGGGTGTGACTGTGCCTCTTAGACTTAGAGTTTGCTTTTGCAAATAGTCCAGGATAAAACAGAGGAAGTGGCAGCCTGGAAGCTGGCTAAGGCCAGGCCTCGATCGTCTTCAATCCAATCCATGTTTACTGAGAAGTTTCAACAGCCAGTAACTGTGCTTCAGGGAACCAAGATAACGAAGGGTCCCTTGTCCCTGTCCAGCACATAGTTTACACATATTTCTGAAAATCTGTCATCTAACTCTTGTAACCACCCTGTGAGGTCAGTAGAGGAACCCATATCTTAGAGAGAGGTTAAGTAGTTTTCCCCACATCACCCAGCTTACGTGAAGCAGGGCCATCGCTGGAATTCGGGCCCCCTAACGCTCCCCGCTGCACTGTGTGTCATGGCTGCCTTCTGAACCGACAGGCCCTGCCTTGCCCCTTAGAGAGGCCCGCAGTCCAGAGGGGAAACATGTAGACAAATATCAGCGCCAGGTCACATTGACCAGGTATTCTTGTGGAGTGCAAACAGAATACAGGAGAAAGAGGAGAAAGTCAATTGATTAACTTGCCCCTGCCACATTCTGGCCTAAAAACAAGCCGCCTCCTTCCTTGTGCGGTAGAACTTCAAATGCAATATGGCTTTGGTTGGTTCCAGCCTAAAGGTTCCAGCTATTCCATAAAAGGCTGTCACTTCCTTCCTCTTTGTACACCTCCTTTTACCTTTCTCTGTGTCTCACAGTGCCTCCCTCTTGTCCCCTTGTTGTGAATTCCAGTTTCTGGATCCATCTCTCTGCTTGTTTTCCTGAGTCAAAGGAGCTGGATCGTACCCTTTTTATTCCCCGTAACTGTTCTGATCTCAGTCTTCTGACGGATCTTCCTGTGCTGTATCTCCATGTCTCCCATCATTTTATTTTCCTCCCTTGTTCTTCTTGCTCTGTCTCTGCTTCCAAAGCCTGTAATACAGAAATGAGGTGCAGTTCTAAGCAAAATAACTCTTTGCAGAATGGAGTTTCATTTTCTCTGTTATGATTTTTTTTTAAGTAAATGGGTGGCTAGAGACCTCCAAGGTCTCTCAGTCCTGGAGCTCGAAATGAGGAGGTCTCATGTGTGAATCTCAGTTGTTTTTCCTTGACGCCTTTTTCTGGATAGGAAGAAAATGTCCTTGATCAAGGGTAGCAGCCCGCACATTGCACCATCTTCTTGGCATTCACTTGGCTATTCTCAGAGTCTCGTAAAAGTAAATACGGTATTTTCAGTGTAAGTCTAGAGAAACCAGGGAGCAGAATGGGGAGAGTTCTGCTATCCTATCCCCTAATGTATCCAGATCAGGGTTTAAAGGAATGGGAGAGATAGGGTAGAAACCAGAGAAATCCCACCATGGCCCTCCCACACTTGGAGCTTGATCAGTTCCCATTCAAGGGAATTTTGTAAATGAGTTCTCACTTTGCAAGTGAATCTTCTCTTAACTAACATCTGGTAACCCCAACCTCACTCTCAAAATCCACCTAAGAGACAGATTTAAAACTCCTTAAATCCCAAGTCTACGAGATGAAATCACCCTGAACATCAGTCAGGAGCCCTGGGTTCTAACTTGAGCCTTGCCACGTCGTAGAGTGGTCTATCAGTTTACATTCGCTCCTCGATTTCTTCATCTATGAAAGGAAGTAGTATATTCACCTTCCTCACCAGGTCATTTTGAGAACCAAGTGAGATTAATATATGTGAAAGTGATTTGAAAAATTGTAAAGGCATATATAAATATGAAATGATATTAATAACAGCAGCATCAGAGCCCATAAAGTACAGTCCACACATTTAAATTTATGAGGAAACAATTAGGAACAGTGGTTATTAATCAGAAACTATGTTGTGAAAAACAACTACTCTTCCCTTGCTTATCAAGTTTGAAGGTAGTGTAGTCATTAAGCACACTGACCTTGAAGGCAGAAAGTAATGAGTTCAAATCCCAACTCTGCCACCAGCCAGGTGAACTTGGGCCAGTTTTTTTTTTTTTTTTTCATTGCTCTGGGTCTTTATTTTGCACACACACACACACACACACACACACACAAACACACACACACACAGAGAAGATAGATTCTTTGTGACCAATCCAATGAGATAATGCTTGTAAAATGTTTGATACAGTGCCTGCCACACAGTAAATATTAGCTTTGAAAAGTATCAATGTGGGGACGCCTGGGTGGCTCAGTTGGTTAAGCAGCTGTCTTCGGCTCAGGTCATGATCCCAGCGTCCTGGGATCGAGTCCCGCATCGGGCTCCTTGCTTGGCGGGGAGCCTGCTTCTCCCTTTACCTGTGCCTGCCATTCTGTCTGCCTGTGCTTGCTCTCTCTCCCTCTCTCTCTGACAAATAAATAAAAAAGAAAAGAAAAGAAAAGTATCAATGTTTCTTGAGCACTGGGAATGTGCCAGGCCTAACTTGGAAAACAAAATGAAAAGACATCGTCCTGTTTCAAAGAGCTAACAGTTAGTGATCTAGAGGGACATTTATAAATGTGCCCAAAAGAAACAGATAGATAGAAACCTTCCTGGAGAAGGAAACACAACTCAAAACTTTTGAAGGATGAGTAGAAGTTTCTGTTAAAAAGGCTTTGTCATTTGCCTAAGGGGTTGAAAAGCCAAGGCTCGTATTTATGCTTTTGGGCTTTCTGGTGATTCAAGCTTAACATTCTGGTGACAATGTGAGCCTGGTGTTGGAAACTGACTTGACTTGCTATTTTCTGTATGTGAAACCTATGTTGTTTTGTTTTCATTTCATAGACTCCTTAAGAGCTATACAGACAACTTCTTGCATAGGGACTAGATGGGTTCCCACGACTTAAAAGTGTTAGCATCCTTGGTCCGTCCACTGATCCCTAAGGAGAGAAGGCAGGGAAGACTGGTAACCACTTATCCCTCTGGAAAAGCTGGAGCTGGAGGTGGTTGGGATAAATAGGTAGGGAATAGAAAGCGGAATGCATAAGCATTTGTTTTGGAGACCATGAAAAGTTTTCACTTAGCTGTCCTTTGTCCACATGCAAATGTGAAAATACAGAAAGCTTTGTATTTGCCGGATATCTTGCTACCATACTGAAGTGCCTTTTTCAGTTCACCAAGTATGTTAGCAGTGAATTTTGGAGTTAGAGATGTTACCCTAATTGGAAGAAATTTCAGATTTTCCTTCGGGTATTCTGTTTCCTTAATGTTGATTAAATCCCTCAACAATATGTAAGATGTTAAAAGCTGTGTTTATGTCTGCTTCTACATCAGTAACTGCCGTGTTAGAGAAATGTAATTGGCATCTAATTGCAATCATCTGTTATCTTTTAAAAGTCACAGAATCGTAAGAATTTAGAACTGGAAGAACCTTAAAGAGCTTTTGGTTTAGCCTCTTCCTTTCACAAATCAGTAAACAGTGGCTCAGAGAGGCTGAGCCCCACTGTTTCAGACAGTCCTCTTACAGGGCTTTCCTCAGGATTTTGCATGGTGATGATAGGCAGAGACCCACAGAGCCTTCCAATCGCAGTAAGCATAAGTGAATTGAGTGTCCCCCCATCCTCAGGCCCATGTTAGCTGAGGATGATAGAGACCAAAGCAAAGTAAAACGTTGGGAAGTCCCAAGAGGGAGAGAAGCCAGTAATGTTGAAGCTACTGTATTGGTCCACGTGACTGGTGTTGAGCGAAGATGACTCGTTTCCAACCCATTCAGGTTTGCGGCACCTGGATGGAGCACTTTCAAAAAAGAAAACGTTGTCATCAGTCCCGGAGACTGCGTAGGATCTTGACCCGAAGGCGAGAGGCAGTACCGCGGTGCTGCAGAAAGTCTGCAGACCCGGTATTCTACCTCGCTAGGCGGATGGAGAGAGGGGCTGCTGGGTTCTGTAGCATGATTTAGAGCTTTGAGGAGCGACCCCCGCCCCCTCTGGAGGAACTGCACCAGTTGGCAGGACGCGGAAAAGCCATCTGTGTCCTACAGAGGGATCATTTCCTTAAGACTCCCGTTTGGACGCAAAAGTGCTTGGTAGATAAGCCAGGCGGGCATGGCCGCAAGCCCGCCCGTCCTCTCCTTCCTTCTGCCAAAGAGAGATGCCCGGGCCCGACGCGGAGGGCTCGCCCACCATCGGGGGAGGTGTGGGGCTCGGCCGAAGGCATCTTTTTCCCGGGCTTTCTCGGGGCCTCCTCCATGCCGCCGCCTTCGCCTGGGGCTGGGAAGCCAAGGAGGGCAGTGGGGGCAGGTGCGGGGCGTCCCGTCGGTCGGGTCGGTCCCGCCGGGAGGGGGACGCGTCCGCGGTGACGGAACAGAAGCCCGGGAAGCCTCGGCCCCTCCGCGGCCGCTCGGAAGGCTCGTGCGGGGCGCGGCGTCGGCGCCTTCGGAACCTCCGGGGCCGCAGCTCGCCGCCGCCGCCGCCCGCTCTCCGGCCGGCCGGGGGAACCCGGGGAAGCCTCGCGGCCCAGGGGCGGCGGCGGCGAGACCCCGCCCCGCCCGGCCGGCCCGCGCCTATCGCGGCTGCCGGCCTGGTCACGCGGAGAGTGGCGCTGCGGGCTCGGGGCCAGCGCCCGGCGGCTGCCGGAGTCGCCGCGGGGCCGGAGCAGGAGCCGGGGCGGGGGCGGAGGGCGGAGGGTAGAAATAGGGCCGGGCGGGCCGCGCCAGTCCGGGAGTCGCGCAGAGCCGACCTGAGCCACGCCGAGGGCGCCGAGTGCGGCGACCGACCCCCGGAGCACCCATGCTGCTGACGCTGGCCTCGGGCTCGCTCTTCTTCCCGGGGCTCTTCGCACTCTGCACCTGGGGGCTGCGGCGTGCGCGGCCCGCCTGGAGCGACTCCGACTGCGTGATGATCAGCACCAGGTAGGGGCGAGGCCGGGCGCCGTCCGCCCCACCCGGCCGCGCGCTGGCTGCCCGCCGCCCCGACCCGCCGGCGCCCGCCCCTGCGCCGCGCCGAGGGCGGAAAAGGGGGGCGACAGGAAGCGAGGGGGCTGCTTCCCTGGTGCCTTGCCCCTCCGGGGCGCTGGCCGGAGCTCTCGGAAGACCCCGGCGTCCTCCCGGGGAGGGAGAGAGGGAGGAGGATGGAGGGCGCCCACGCGGGTCAGGACCGGGCGGGAAGCGGCTGGTCCACGTCTGCCTTCTGCTTTGCGGTCGGGAGCGCGGCGGCGGCCGGAGGCTCTCCCTCACCGCCCCGGCAGCCTAGGGGAGAGGCAGGTTGAAGGCTCTGGGCTTTATGCTGTCCGCTGGACTGGATCCCCCCCCCCCCCTTTTCTTTTCTACCGCACGTTAGGCTGGTTTCTTCAGTGCAGGCTGTGTTGGCCACCGGGTCAGGGATCGTCATCATCCGTTCCTGTAGCGACGTGATCACGGACAGGTAACATCCAATGCCAGGTGGAAGCACCAATGACAGCGCTGAACTTTTTCGAAGTTTTCACGTTTGAGTGGCTCCCAGGCGCTAGTCCTTTATCAGCACATGCGGTTAGGTAGCTGATGGGAGAATCCCAGCCCCATAATGAGCCCCTCCTCTCTCTTTACCTCTTTCAGCCTCGCCCACTTCAGAGAAAGTAAACTGAAGACGTGCTAGAGAATGACAGGGTCTGAGTCTGATTTAAGGTGGCCCACTGATTCAAGTTCTTTATGAGCCACCTAAGTGTGAGAATTATTTGGAGTGGGGGTCTGGCCTTTAGGTCTTTTAAATGATTTCACTAGATCCCTGCTCTGGAGCATTCTTTGGCCAAGGGTGGTTAGCAGAGACCCTCGGTGGAAAGGGACAAATCCACCAACCCTTTCCTTACAAGGGCTGCTCCCGTGTTTCCTCTGGATTTGCTAAAGGCAATGAAAAAAGGTTTCTAGGGCTTTCAGGAAACTGACCTGTACCTGAATTACAGCTCAGTCCCCAGGCAGGTCAGGAAATGTGCATCCAGTGAAACAAATCATAAAGACCGGTCTACTTTGTATAGTGTTTAGACCTGGGCAGTTGTGCCCCCACCCCAGCTTTTTCTAAAAAGCCATTGTTTTCACCTGTCTTCCTAGAACCACTCTTACTTTCTCTTCCTTAAAGAGTGGTAGTCAAATGTGCAAGGAATGTCTCATAGCCTTTCCTAGTCCCTTTCTTGTCGATTCTGCAAAGTGTCCTGGTTTTTACCAGTTGAGCGTGGAAAGGGATGGGAGCAGGAGTGGGGTATCCATTTCTCTGTGGTCTGCAAATTTCGTGTCTGAATCTTGGGATTAGTCCTGCTGTTGTGACTTTTGTGCTTTCCTTCCTGTGCCTCTTTTAAACAAAACCAGCTACTGGCAATGAATGATAGATGCCGAGAGAAAATAGTTCAGTTGATCTTGACTGCATATACCAAAGGCTAACAGCATTTGCTTGGCTGGGTTCAATTTTTTATTTTCATTGAGCATTTTCTTTTTTCTTTTCTTTTTTTTTTTTTAAGATTTTATTTATTTATTTGACAGACAGAGATCACAGGTAGGCAGAGAGGCAGGCAGAGAGAGGAAGGGAAGCAGGCTCCCTGCCGAGCAGAGAGCCCGATGCGGGGCTCCATCCCAGGACCCTGGGATCATGACCTGAGCCGAAGGCAGAGGCTTTAACCCACTGAGCCACCCAGGCGCCCCTCATTGAACATTTTCTGATCATGCAACAAATTATCTCACTGTTCCCACTCTGTCACATTAAGCTTGAAATCAGCCTCTTTTACAAAGATTAAAGTGACAACTGTGACTTTGCAGTATTTTTTTGAGCTGATATGAGGGCAGGCATTGGGCAGCCACTATATATTTCAGAAGATGTTTGCACACCGTTAGTTCTGTAGCACCCCTGTTGTGTCTTCCCCTCAGAAGCTCTGTTTTTAGTGGCTGGATCATGGTGGCACACCTGAGTTTGGTTTTCAGGTTCCTCCTTTTCTATATCTTTATGCCTTAGATTCGCTGGTCACAAAATGGAGACAGACACGTCTCTGTGCCCTCTGCCTTTGCATGTATGTATAAGCATGTTTTAAAGGCACCTAGATCATCTTGGGGGAAAAAAAAAGGCCTTTTGGTTTTCGTATATTGTACACTCAAATATTTTTCTATCGTATGCCTTTTCTTCCTTTTTTAAAAAGATCTTACATACTTGAGAGAGAGTATACGTGCTTCTGCACTCAAGCAGAGGGAGGGCAGAGGGAGAAGTAGACTCTTCCCAGAGCAGGGAACCCAACATGGGACTCCAGCCCAGGACCCTGAGATCATGACCTGAGCTGAAGGGAGATGCTTAATCGTCTGAGCCACCCAGGCGTCCCTATTATATGCTTTTCCATTTTATGTCTTCAATATGTATTTATAAATCCCCCCAAATTATATCATAATGTGGTGTGGGACCAGAGATTTCAGGAGATTCTTAAAGGAGTCCAGATACCCAAAAGGGCTAAAAATCCTGTGCAGTTTTAGCAGTTTAAGCACTTATATTTGGATAGTGCTTTTTACATTTAAAAGGACATTCACACTTCTAGTTTTTTAATCCACACAAGAACTTTGTCAGGGAAGGAAAAAACAAGAATTATTATCTTGATGCTACAAAGAAAGTTAAGTCCCCGGCTGGTGACAGTTAAGATTATAATCCAGACCTCTTGTTGATAAGTTTTTGGAGAGTCCTGCCTATCAGCCACAATTTCACATCGTATTGAATCGGTTGTGCAAAATATCAAAATCCCAGGCACCTCTGGAGGGGAGGGGTCAGTTGCATTTCAGCTAAGCTTAGTAGTTCTTCATAGTTATTGTGCTTGGAATTGCTTCAAAAAAGCAACTGGAGGGGCGCCTGGGTGGCTCAGTGGGTTAAAGCCTCTGCCTTCGGCTCAGGTCATGATCCCAGGGTCCTGGGATCGAGCCCCGCATTGGGCTCTCTGCTCCACAGGGAGCCTGCTTCCTCCTCTCTCTCTGCCTGCTTCTCTGCCTGCTTGTGATCTCTGTCTGTCAAATAAATAAAATCTTTAAAAAAAAAAAAAAGAAAGAAAGAAAGCAACTGGAGGCCGTAGATGAGCAGTAGAATAAATATTGCCATATCTTTGTTGCCCAAATGGAACCTGGCTGAGGAATTCACATGCACATCTAGTATATTTGCCATTACTTACTCGTGTGCCTGTTTCATTGCTTCTTAATGATACAGTCATGCCGTGAGAAGTGTGGACTCGTTCAGGAATAGAAATTTGAATGGCACCCTCTCTGGAATATATTGCTAGTGTTGCAGTTCAGTGGGCTGGCTTCTTAGGAAATCACTGGAAACAGTTAAAAATACAAACTTGAGCTTGTGAGGCCATGCAGGTAGAGGCTCTGGGGAGTAGAGTCCTTTACCAGCACTGCAGGTGATTCTGGGGTTCAGGTAGTTTGAAAACCATGAAACTAAACTGTTTCTTCTCGCTGACTCAGGGGTGCTCAGTGAAAATGTGCCAATTGAATGAAGTTAATCCTTCTCAGCGAGAGTGTATGATTTCTGTTTTGATTTTCTCCTTTTTCTGTAGAATTATTTCTCATTTGGGAACAAAATGGTAGACATTGGAGACTTTCCTTCTAATCTGCTCTGGGCTTGTGATAAACAGTCAGTTTAGACTCCGCAAATATGGAATCAACCCCTTTGGGCAAGTAAAGGGGAATGCTGTCTTTTGTCCTAGCTTCTCTGCTCGTATCTGACTGCTGTAAAGTAGTCCTTGAGCTCCGGGCTCCTTTCCAGATGTATTTTTCTTAATGAGTGGAATTGGGATTAGCCACAGAATTACCCACATAATTACCCACGCAGTTACCCACGGTCAGGGTAGCTTCCCAGAAACTCCTGAAAGTGGGGTTGCAAGCAAATATGTGAGGAAACTCCCAACTATTGAGCAACTAAGTAGAGTTAAACCGGAAATATTGGATTGGGCCTTTGGGACACCTCTGAACAAGTTTCTTGGTGGGGCTAATGAATCATTTGTAGAGATATCTGTATCAAAGTTAGCTTTTATCAGAAAATGCATTCGAAAGGGCTAAATCAGGGAAATGGCGACAGCTGGTTACTGAAACACCTGGTGCTGAGTGAGTCCCAGCTTTCTGCCTCTGACACCTAGTAATTGGCCCTGTACCTGGGAGAAAAATCTTCACTTGCCTTATTTATCACTGTCAGAGTCTCCCTTGTAAAGCGTTTGGAGTGAAAATAGCCGGTTAGGTACAAAACTGACATCTGTCCTCATCTCATGGACTGTTCATACGCTTTCTTTTAGGCACTGGCTTGCCCGAGAGTATGTCTGGTTCTTGATTCCGTACATGGTCTATGACTCCTACGCTATGTACCTCTGTGAGTGGTACCGGACCAGAGACCAGAACCGCGGACACTCCCTCGCCACCTTCCGAAACTTCCTGTGTAAAAACCGCCTCATGATCACACACCACGCAGTCATTCTGTTTGTCCTTGTGCCAGTTGCCCAGGTATGGCCTTCCCAGACAGCCGACAGCCAACTCGGTCCCTCGTCTCCTCCTTATACCGGATGTCTTTGACCAGTACTTAGGAGCCTGGATTGTCCCTCTTTCTTTCCCCTTCCTCCCACACCCACTGTCCTGTGCCCACTGCTTCCCTGGTAAAGCCTCCCCGGCAGATACTGTGGGGGGGGGGAATGCAATCTGCAATGTCACTGATCCTCCCTACCAGCACTGTCCTTTATGCAGTCCCCTAGCCCTCTATGATTCCC